CCTCTTGCCTTGGAAATAAATCTTGCCCAATTCTTTCATCTTATTAATACTAGTATATCATAACTGAGGCTATTTTCCTTTAAATTAAATGGTTTATTACTATTGTTATCCATTGATTTATTTAATTTTAAGATTTATTAAATAGGTTAACAATGCTAAATAGTTTAGGAACTCATTCTTACCAATAGCATTATTGAATTTATTATTATATAAGATGAGACATGAGAGAATTACATTCTTGTTTACATTTCTTGCTATGTATAGATTAACCAGTCCAAATTTCTAACCAATTATCATTTAGGAGTTCTGGTGTAACCAAAAATTCAAGATCAAATTGAAGTAGGCAAAATTATTTAGAAAAATCAGAAAAAAGTATACATGCTTGAGAAGATAGGAGAGAAACTTGAGAAAGATAAAAGAAGAGTTTCAAAAATTAGTAATAATCTTTTCTAAAGTCTTAAATCTTTAAAGGAAAGAGGAAGTGTGTTTTTTTTACAGGTTTTTTTTTTAACAAAGTATTCTTGCCATTGATTTTATAGGTGGATTTTTTGTGTATTTACTTGCAAAAATACAAAAAGTTTATGTTAAAAAAGAAAAGAAACAAATAGAAAAAGACTGGAATTTTTGGGTAGTAATATTATTAAAGAAAGTATATAGACTTTATTATAAAGAAATATAAAATTTTTCTGGAATATATATTTTTTGAATTGGCAAAAGGATTAGTGAAAAGAGTTTTTTTTTTCTTCAAGAATAGATAGTTTCTTTTGTTTGTTTTTTTCAAAATATAGTTATATGGTAATAGACTAATATGTATAACAAAGTATCTCAAAATCCAAATATTAATTATGTAACATATTTTTACTCAATTAATAAAGATTATGAAAATACCTTATTTAATATTTAAAAAAGAAAATCAAATAATCTACTTTACTATAAATAATAACAAAATTTTATAAAATTGATATTTTAAAAGTTATATTAGAAAAAATACAGTATATTATGTGCAGTATATCAGAATAATATATTTTTTTCTGCAAGAAAGTATTATAGAAATTTATCTTATTTTATTCTTAGTAACATATAACGGCAAGCGTTTTTCAAATAAAAGAAATAATTATATTACAGTATCTAATGTGAAATCTTAACAATTACAATAAAACTGCTAACCTTACAAATTCCAATCAATTACAGTATATCGATAGTATTACGTTAGTTTCATTGAAAAGTCCGAAAATTACGTTGATTTAGTATCAATCAGAATTATTAAACTATATTAACCATTTTTGGGAGTAATTACTAGTCACGATTTGGCAACTTATATATTCAGTACACATAAATATCTACTTGCTCAAGCAGTTGTCAATATTTTAAACTTTGCTGAAATTAGGTTTTAATCTGTTTTTTAACTCAATTTTTCACGTTTACAGATATACCAACATCTTGGTATTTTTTCTCGTTATAGATGAAGTTCTCGCTAAAAGGAAACTTTTGATATTACCGAAAATACTTCAACCGTTTCGCATCTTCAGTCCGTCATCAAGAGGGTGAAAGAATCTGATTTTGGTCATTTCGCCTCCAACAAACTTAAGTAATTAATATTTCTATCAACGACGAAAATAATCTGAAAATATTTGATTATACGTCTCGTAAACTGGCATCGAACAAGACCTGAAGGTATAAAATTCCAGGAAATTTCTCTGAACAACCACCCTTCGTAAATATTATTCATATCATCATGAAATCAATGGCAAGTGTCCCAATTTTTTACCGGTTTTTTTATATAATGCATTTATCACATTTGTCTCTGCTTGCTTTGTACTGGATCAAGGATGCGCTGATGACATTGCAACCTTAACAATCTGTCTCGATAAGGTATTAATAAGTTGGTATTTTTAATCACAACCTTATATATTTCTGACCATCAGTCTTTTTTAGGTGGTCTCTGTGATACATTGCTACTTATTGGTTTGAGGTTGAGATCTACCAACGAGGGTGTTAGTATTAATGATCTTGACATCAGCCGAAGGTTTGATATTATGCTTCCTTTAATCGAAGATCTTAAAGATAGGACCTTCATATTTGTCCGAGCGCCTCCTTCTCCGGAAAAACATCAATTGCCCAAATTTTGGAGCATACCTTGGTTAACGCACTAAAATTTTCAAATTATAGAGTAATACAAATTTCATTGCTTTGGAAATTTGAAAAGCGATGGAAGAGTATTGTTGTTATAACTTGGAAAGACTGGATAGATTAATGTGATTTGATTCCAACGATCTTGACAATTGATCTTCGGGAAAGAGAAGAGATTGATTAAAATAATATAAAATCTGCGGATCAATTCTGGATAGCTCTTAAAGGGCTCTTCAAGAGATGACAATTACTTCAAAAATTTAGATACACCAAGCGTCTCAAAAATATATAAATACATTCAAGTAGTGACAGAAGGACATGCAGGTTTGGTTCCTCACATATTAAAGGGGTCCATAGAAAGTGCAATTAAGAAGCGAATTGATACTCGCTTAACTTTGGAAGAAATATTAGGTACTTGAATTCAGAGAGCTTTGATTCACCAACTACCGTGCTGTACCAAGGGTTTCTGCTCTTTCTGCAGAGCAAAAACGATATATGAGGAAGTTTACTTTGAAAGAAAAATTCAATATATAGATTCTAATATGGATGCTGTAGATTTAGTCAGTTCTGGAATTCTTATCGTTGACGACATATAAATGGATATACAGTAACTTTTGTAGCACTTCTTAAGAGATCATTTTTTTCAGCAAGATTATGGAGTTCATAATATTTTCACAGTAATGTGTAATGAACTAAGTGGAAGGGTTTTAAAAGAAATGCTTGGATTTGGGATCTGATGGAATAACTAGAACAAATATGGTAGAAAGAAATTTATAGAATCGGTACACAAGTATTGAGGAAAAAACATTTTCTGTCATGTGATGTGAGTTCGGTTTTTGCATGCAACGGAAGGATAAATTTTTACGTGGACAAGTTAGACTGAGCAATAGAACTCTTAAAAAGATGGTGAATGTATGACCGAGTATAAAGGAAGATTTGAACATATAAAAGGAGTATATAAAGGGATCGGCAAATAAGCAAAGAGTATAGCTATTCGCAGAGAAGCAAAAAAAGGTTCGAGAATTGAAAGATGATTTCATACACGCGTCATGCTCCGAAGTTATGACGCATTTAAGATAGAGAGTTTAGGTAAAGAAACTGTAACTATCAGGTTTCAGAATTAGTTAACGTAAAAATTTCCTTTGACGCAAATTGCATTTGGCGTAAATAAATTCGAATTCATAATTTCTTGTACGAAACTCTCAGGGGAGTGCGCAGATCCTAACTGTCTACGTGATTCTCACCTCACACTCTTTAATACACCAGATATCCGAAATAAACTATCACACTCATATCTTACAGAATCAATATCTCTTCAAACATACGACTATATAAAGTATTATTCCTCAAAGTATTATAAAAAAATAATATAAGACAGCGCGAACGATATTCGGCATGTAAAGATACTTATATACTGTGTTGATTCTCGATTGACCAAATTGATTATGTATGTCACCTTACCTTGCGAGTCATCCTTATCTTCCAATATGGTTTATAGATAACTCTGACAAAACTTTCCTCTGGAAAGATCTTCGGATTGCCATTATATTAAAATTCTCTGCTTTGCAGATCCTTTGAACAATTTATAGTAAAGCAACAAGGTCAACATAATTTTTTTTCCAAGGCTTTTGCTTTCTCACTTCACAAGTCATTTTTTAAGTAAAAGTTCATTAAATTAAATTAAAAAACCGATCAATTGGAAAAAATAAGCCCAAGTATATTTTTGCAAAGCAAAAGCTAAGAGCTTATTTTACAAAGATTTCACCTCTAAACCATATACTGTATATTTATTTATTTATTTATTTTATTTATTTGATTATAACAATATTTTATATTTATTTGATTATAACAATATTTTATATTTATTTGATTATAACAACATTTTATATATATATTATTATTTATTGGTTATCATCTGTTATTTAAAATAATTTGCTTTAATTTTTTATTAATTTCAAGCCTTACATATGAAATCACCAAACACATAAAATCGAATTTTACTTAACAGTAAAAAAAAAAATAAAATCGAATTTTGCATTTATAATTTTTTGTAAAAAAAAAAAAATAATAAGGCATATTTGAAATTATTTTTTTTAACATAACATACAACAAGTGATAATACTCACAGGTTTATTAATTAATTAAAAAAATATTATGTGAAATTAAATCAAGTTTAAACTTAATAGATTTTTTTTAAAAATATATATATATGTACTGTATATCGTTATGCTTTTCACAAATTAAAATTACCTGGTGGTTGACGTCATCGACACATTTCCCATTGTGTGAGTAATCACGTTACACCACGCAGAAACAACACGTACATACATGCTCTTTGAAAGAAATCATCAAGTTTCGTCCTTTTTGGGAATCTAAACAACAATACACTTTTCATTAATACCAGGCTACCAATAAATCCTTGATGGTAAAAAAAAAAAAAAAAAAAAAAATCGATTATCAAATTTTGGCGCGCTTAGGAAAAAAAATTTTCTAAAAATATTGATCTGATACATTTTAGGATGAGTTCTTTGTTCGCCCATAACCAACACTTCTTTATTATGACATTCCAAAATTCTTTTATCTCAACGAATGGATGAAAGACTTAGCCTTTCATAATCACGCTATGCGAAATTAACCTATACTCTTATAGGAAACTCATAATAGCATTTCGTTTCTATGGCAAGATTTTTCGCTTTTGTGGCGGACAATGTTTGCGAGTGTCAAATCGGACTTGAGAAATGATTACGTGCGTACACTTGTTCAGAAGACCTATTGTCAGTGATCAATTATTATCGACTATTACAGTGTGCATGTGTCATTTTTTCATTGTGTCATAACGTAACGAATAAAGCTTGCCCGCTATTCCGTTATCAGCTACATCGAATCAACCACACCGTTTCTCTTTCTTTATTATGGTGCGACATCGGCGAAAGCAACGGTGCACATTTATAAAAATGACATCTTGAATCCATGCACCAATCGTAATGCGGTAAGATCGTTTGGGCGCTGGCGTGTGCGAGGGACGTTGAACATTCATTAAAGAGGAAGGGATGTTTCCTGAGAATTTTTTTGGAAACAATTTTTCGCCCACATTTTCCTTTATACCATTTTTGATCTAATAGACCGTGATCCTTGAACAATAAAAGTTGGTTGACCAGATCGCGGTATTTTCGTGTCAGGAAATATTTTACGGACCCCGTCACCACTTGGTCTCGAGAATGAATGATGGCTGCGTGAACAACAAATAAATTTCAAGGGGGTATTGTGTATGTGGAAATAAACAACACGGGAGTCGAGTTACCGTTCTCTGGTAGATCCAAAACACCCAAGATGAATTAAGGTTGAGAGTCGAACGGAACGCAGTGTAGCATTCCTTCACTTCTAAATAATGACTCACATTAATTACATCAATAAACTAATATTCTCATGTTTGTTGCATCTCACATTAATCACACGATCGATTTATCAGGTCAATAAAAGCGTATATGTCTTTGGTCAGATCGAATAAGAAAAAGGAATCATTGAGTATGGCGGAGGTTCTCCTCAGACAACAACAACATAATGATCAATCACGCCTTATTCACTTTCAGGGATCGATTTGACCTCGCCCAACTTTGTTTGATGAAACTATTTTTGTACTGGGCATTTTGGGTCTCCAACCAGATGATCGTGGTGATGGATGGTATCATGTTATGTATGTTACAAATGCGTCAACGGATTCATCTGTATTGACACAATAGAGGAAAATAGATCTCATGAGCATTACGTGATACAATATGAAACGTAAATAAATTAAATGAGCGAGAAACAGGAAAGAAGCATTAAAGGATGATTGGACCGGCGGATAAAAATGAATCGTTCATTTTGATTCCACATACACAGTATATATTATTACACTTTATTGTATATTAAATGATAATAATAAATGGGAATATAAATTTTTTTGTTTTTCATATTTGTATTCGTATTTGTGGTCTGGAGCGCATTTTTTTCCTTGAAAACAATCTATCGAAATTTCGCCAAATATTTGGAAGGGGGGTGACGGTTTGTTAAAATAACAGGAATAGAAAGGTTCCGGGTTTACTGTATTGTAACAAATGCGTGCTTAGCTAGTCAGGCGCACCAAGGTGAACGTGATTGTAT